GTAGCTCCATCGATCGTCTTGGTGTACTGGGGCACCCACGTGCGGACGTGCTTCATGTCCGCGGCATGATATTGGACCACGGGCTTCGCCTCGATCGTGAACGACATCGGCGCGCGTGAAAACAGCCGCGCGAACCCCCCGCGGCGGCCGAGCGCAACCTCGCTTGATCACTGACGGCTTGTCACTGCAATCGAGCCCGCGCCCAGCCGCAGCGACGAGGCTTGGACCAGCGCTGCCGCTGCCCCCTCCCCCATCCCCCTCTCCCCGCGCGAGCGCATGCGAGCTGTTTTTGTTTCTCCTGCAAGCGCTGAAAGAGAAGAATACGCCATGTGTCCAGAGGACGCCGTGTGTCCTGCAAGCGCTAAAGGAAATCCGCAATAATAATACCATTGTCTCCTTAATCGGCGTGCCGCCCCACCGACCTGAGATCGCGGCACAAGTGTCTAATAAGCTCGGCTCCGCGAGCCACGACTACTGCGCGCGGACCCTCTTCATCGGCGGCGCCTTCGCCGCCTGCGGCTTCAGTGCACGAAGCTGGTCACCCTTTTTGATGGGTTTGGTGTTTTCCAGGAACGGTATTTTCAATGTAAACTTCTCCGCGCCGACCGAGGCGTCAACGGTGTGAAGCTTGATGGCCATGTTAGACTTCTTGGGGTCGGTCACCTCTTTGTCAATGAGCCAGTAGTGCGGCATGAACCCTTCTATCTTCGCCATCTTGTAGCTGCCGCGCGTGTTGTCCGCGATGCCGCCTGGATCATGCTTCTGCAGCTTCATGAAGATGTAAAGCTTCTGCGCGACGCCGTCCGCATTAGTGATCTCCGCGCCGACGTCGATGGCACCGTTTGGAGCTGTATCCGAGAAGGCAACTTTGGTCGAGAAGGGCGGGAAGATCGCGCTGGAGACATCGATGTCAACCTTGGCGTACACGCCGCGGTGCTCCGTGGGCTCCGTCACGATGTCGACCATCTCGCCCGCTGCCCCCTGTAGGTTACCCAATGCATCAAGCGCCGACGTCACGTGACCAACCAACACCATGCGCTGCCAGTCCGAGTTCGAGCGCGGGTCGCACCTGGCACTCCAATCGTTGATGTATTCCTGTTGGGATGGTGGGATGGGTTGCGGGGGTGGTGGGTTTGGGCGGGGCTGGGATGGGCGGTGGGGTTGGGGTAAAGGTGCGGGATGGAGAACAACAGGAAAAGAGCACGTGGGCTGCGGGTGTGTAAGACAACCAAGCTCCATTGCCAAAATCGTTGCCCCCTCCCCCACCCCCTCCCCCTATAGTATACACGCCGTGGAAGGGGGAGAGCGCGGCGTCCTTCTTCTGCTCGCGTTTTGTGATCACCTTGAACTCTTGTGCACGCGGGGTGAGTAGCGATTTCAGGAGGTATGCCGAATCGACTGTGTAGTCGCTCCCATCGCCGATGCTCTGCAGCTTGATCTCATCCTCCTTGACTTCCTGCACCTTGTATACAGTTTTCATCTTGATGACCTCGATGTGGCAATTGGCGCTCACGCCCATACTTGCCAATTTGTGCATCCTGTCGGCGATTCCGCCTACGCTCTGCACTTGTGCAGAAGCCGCAGCTTGCTGCGCGGGAGCTTTGGGCGGGGCTCCTTTCTTCGCCCACGGGGATGTGATCTGCGTGCCTGCAATGGTAGCCAGGTCTTGCACGTACTCGTAGCCGATGTGGTGAAGCGACTCGAACTTTTGGCTCCTGGGGTCGGGCTTCTTCATGCAATGGTGCACGAGCCTCATGCCGAACCTGTTGATCAACGTCTTCACGGCCGCGTTGTCTTCTGACAGGTTGACAGTTTTTGCGATGTCTATAGCCATCGATTTCATGATGTCTGCCTGCGAGATCATGCGCTGCACTTCCTTGTTACTCGTGAGCTTAAGCCCGAAGTCACCCGATGCAAAGAGGTTCTGAAAGTCGCCCGATGCATACTTGCTGTCGGCGCTCATCATTGCCTTTACGCAATCAATGCGGAAGGGAATGCAGCCCAAACCATCCGAGCCGATCACTGCATCAGCCACCGCCGCCAAGACGGGGCCCTGCACAATGCGCGGCTTCTGGCACGAACGGTTGAAAGCCCGAAGCTCCTTCAAATTCGGTGCGTCTGGTCCACCAGCGAGCTTCCTCGCAAACGTCGCCAAACTCTGGATCTCTGAAACGAAATCTGGATTTCTGGATTGCGCTTTTGTTATTGCCCTACCCCACGCGACGTCGGGGTCCAAGATGTCGCCCTCCTTTTTATTGGCTTCGAAGTTGGCGACGATCTTCTGCACGTCCCCGTGCATCTTGAACAAGGTCTCCCACCTAGTCTCATTCATGGAAACCTTCTGCGCAGCATTTCCAGACTCCTGATTGAACGCGGCTAAAGCCAACATAAATGCGGGGGGGGGCGGGGGCGGGGGCAATCGAAAAGTTAAAGGGTGGGCCATCGATTTCACAAACTTAAGCGGGTCCTGGAGCAAGTCTATAATGGCGCCGAATGCGTCTTCAGCCTGCCAGACAAGCACGTCCCATTCAAACCCCTCCTTCGCAGCATCTGCCAACGTGGGGCGCTTCAACCCGATCTTGTGGATGTCAAGCTTCCCGTCGGTACCGAACTCGACGTTATCTGAATCTGTAGGGCTGCCAAACTGAATGCAGCGGGTCGCCTGGGTCGTGTGCGACTTGCTCACGCTAAGGATTTTGATCTCGCCCTCGTCGTATGGCGGCAAGAAGCCGTGGGATTCCTTGACAAGGTCTCCGTTGAACTCGAGTGCCTCGGCGTGGCGCTCGTGAGATGGGGGTGGCATCTCGATGGCAAAGGGCACGCCCACCTCATCCATGCTGAACCCGTCGCTGCAAAAACTGCGCACCAGCGTGCGCACGTGGGATGGAATTATGCCATCGCCGTACCTGTTCCGCGGGTGCACGGCCACGTAGCGCCCATTCGTTTTCTGGCGCCTCAGCAGACCCTCCTTCCGCAACAATCGCACCGCCTGGTCGCGCAACTGGAGAATCGGGGGGCAATGGCTGCACGTATACTCCTTGATGATGTCGAAGATCTGCTCCTGGACGCGCTCCACGCGAGCCTGCATGGTCTCACCCGCCATGGCGTGGCCCAAGCCCAATGCGAGAAACGCAAGGCGGGGGCTGCGCTGAACGCAACTGAAGGGTGGCTGACACCTTTGTCTGGGCCAGCGGCAGCACAAATGCATGAAACAACTATTGATTTCGCAGCATGCCTCCCACGGCGCCCGCGCAATATTCCAGATCGGGCACCAAGGTTCTCTTAGGGTTTAGGGTTAACGACATTGGCGTCACAAGTGTTTTGGGCGTCCTGTTCAGCGCGCGCGCTGTTATATATATTGATTGAAAATGCATGCCCATACATGGCGTTAGTTTGCGTAACTGCAGTTATGTGGCACTTACGCGCCACTTATGTGGCACTTACGCGCCACTTATGTGGCACTTACGCCACTTACATAAGTAGCTCGTAAGTAACTTACGCTACTTATATAAGTAGGCCGTAAGTACTTATAAGTAGGCCAAAGTACTTATAAGTACTTACGCTACTTATAAGTAGGCTGCCCTACTTATAAGTAGCTCCTAAGTAACTTAGCTACATATGAGCTACTTACACTACTTATGAGCTACTTACGAGCTACTTACACTACTTATCAGCTACTTACGAGCGACTTAGGAGCTACTTATAATTGGCGTAACTGCATAAGTACTTATAAGTACCCCCGCCGCGCGCAGTTCTTAGAACCCACAAATGCTCTAAGAACACAAACAATGTTCTTAGAACATGAGCCCGATGTGATAAAACAACGCAGACTCCGCCAGAAATGATCTAAGAACATTTCGTGGGAAACACAAAGGGTTCTTAGAACATTGTTTGGTAGGGCTATAGGCGAGCCAGGGCGCTTCGCCACTGCTTGACAGAAGGGCGCAACGCCGCGGCGACGCCGCGGGGACCGGCCGAGCCGCCGACCGAATGTAGCCCGACTGCGACGCAGCCGAACCGCCCGCACCGCCAGCAGCCCTGTGAAACGGGGCACCTCGAGGGCAGGAGTGATTGGATTTAGAGTAGGGGATCAACTATAGAATTGATTTACCTCGAAATTGATTTTTCGTCGTATCTAAAAATGAGAAAGTAAAACGTTCGTGGACTGCTCCGTATTCCTTCGGCGACTCGACGAAAAAATGCTGGGGTAAATCAATGTGTATGCGATCTCCTGCTGAGGATTGGCCCAGGGCGCGTGCCAGGATTTCTATACCATCTGGCGGCCCCTGCCTCTGCAACCCGTGTGAGACAAATGAGAGAACCCGTGGGGAAACCAAACAAATACCGATACCGCTACTCCCCAGACCTCTCCCGGGTTGCGTTCTGACGAAATTTTCGAAGCGAATCCAGTGGTGGCGACCAGGGCCTCCGAGGAGGCGCAAAAAGGAGAAAACGAGCACAGTGTAGAGGTATGGGTACCTTTTCCTCTTTTGAAACTGGGGAATCCTGGGAATCTGTACACTGATCAGGCTCATGACCTTTCTTAGGCATGTCGTGAGAGCGGACACTCGCTGCATCAGTCGGCCGATCGCGGTCGGCCCCGCTTCACGCGCCTGCGTGGAACACAGGCGCAGTGAGCAGCACGAATGACGAAATGTCGCAGTTCGCGGCAGCACCCACCAGCGGAACGAGTTGAAGGAAAGATCGGGCGATGGCAAGACTGGGTTTAGTGGGACCTGGTTTAGTGATCTGTACCAGAGACGCCCCCCCCCCCGTCCCATTCCACTAACCGGAATTGCCGTCACCCGAAAAGCACCACTTACGGCAGACCTTGTTTAGTGATTCCAATCCATGTTTTGGAATTCGGGGCCCAATCACTAACCGGCTGCCCTTAACTGGAGTCCTGGCTATACCCGAAAAGAGTGTTCACGATGGCTGGGGAAGACAGACTGACAGAGAGATGAAGCGCGAGCAACGGCAGACCGAGCATCGCGAGCTTCTCACGAGTTCCTGCTCCCCCGAGCCTTGTGCGTGAAGGAGCCGCCCTGCGCGCTCCGGTAGGCCAGCCGCGTCTGCGGGTGGTCCCAGCCGAGCCCGAGCGAGGCGTAGTCGATGCCGCGCCGCACGCTCTGCTCCGCCAGCGCAGCGAGCGCCTGCCCCTGCGCCGGCGGCAGCTTCTTCAGCGCCGCCTCTGCCGCCTCGGGAGCTGCAGAGGCAGGAAAAGCGCGGAACGACAACTGCGTCAATGGTGGGTCTGCTTTCCTCGAGGACGGACAAAGCATAAGCATGCTTTCTCGGAGGTCTGCGCGGAGATCTTGGATCTGTGCTGAACCGCCCGGAGGCGCCGCCAGGAGGGCCAAGCGGAAATCCAAGAAATCCGCGCGGACCGTCGAACAATTATGTTGATGCCGTTTTTTTCTTTTACGAGTGTAACGACAGTTGCGTGGATGGTGGCCGACTCTCCACTACTGATTATTACTAAAGCTCAGGAGTGGTTGAACAATAGTAGTGCTTTGCTGTGGGATGCGCCGACCGCGACCAGACGACCACTGCCACAGGTCAACCGCCCATGGTCTGCCGTGGTGGACCAGCTAACGCGAATAAGCAGGATGCACGGTATCGATGCAAGGGCCTTGAAAGGCCATGTCGACACCTTTCGAGTGGGGCGCGGCCAGCGAAAGTGGCCAGGGATGAGCCGAAGGGGCAGGATGCAGGGGTAACCCGGGACAGTCGCTCATCCTTACTGTGCGCTTTGACTGCAGCGAAAGCTAGGCCCACGAGTCGAGGTTGTTGGTCACGCGGTCGGCCTGGGGAGGAGGAGCACCGCGAAGGAGCACTGACGGGGAAGATCGGGGGTCGAGGAGGACAGAGCGGGTCACGGGAGGAGGAGCGAGCAGGCCCTGGGAGGAGGATCGAGGAGGAAACGAGCGAGGAGGATCCAGGAAGAGCAGGAGCAGGAGGACGAGCGAGGAGGAGGACGAGCGAGGAGGAGCGAGGAGGAGCCAGGACTGAGGAGGAGGACCGAGGAGGATCCCGCAGGCCTTGGAATCGCCCAGGAGCCCCCCGAGATCGGCCACCGCCCCTGCCATGCCCCCCGCGGGCCCGCACGAGGCGCCGCGCGGGCGCTTGGAGGGCCGTGCGGGGCCGCCGGAGTCCGCCGGGTGCTCCGCCGGCACCGCGGAGCCGGCGGCCGCGCCGCTCATGCCGATCGAGCCGCGGGGCTGCGGTGCAGCAGCGAGGAGGCCGGCGGGGCACAGGCGCGGCCAGGGCCCACGCGAGCCAGACGTGAGGAGGCCACAAGCGATCGCTCGTGGGGCGGGGGGGGGTCGAGGGGGCCCGACACGCCGGATCGGCGTGCGGCCGCGCGCGCGCATCCTGCTCCCGCCCAGGCAGCCACGTGCTGCGTGGCCATCCCCCCTCTGCAGAGTGGCGAGGGCGACGAGGTGATGGTGGCTCTCGTGGTGTGTCGGCGGGAGTGCAGTGAGAAGGGACAGGCCTTGAACGAAGGCTCGGAAGTCCGCCGGTCTTCTGAGAAGTGTTCTAAGCCTTCCCCGAAGACGCCGAACTCCTCTCAGCAGGCCCGAGGGCTCCTGAGAAGCCCCGCCACCTTCTGAGAAGGCCTTCTGCTTCCCACTTCCCCCCCCCCCGCTCGCCGAGGAGAAGGGGGTGGCTGCGGGGGTGGCTTCTTGGTCCCCGGTGCCGCGGGACGGTCAGAGGAGGCCCACCAGTCTTGTGCCTCCGGCTGCGCCCCTCGCTCCGTGACGCCAACCTCTGCAAGAGACAGGTCCGAGGCCACCGGCGGCGGGGTGTTGCGGTCGGTACCTCTGGTCCTCCTGTGCGAAGCCGGTGCGGAAGAAGCACAAATCCGCATCCCAGCGCGAACCCGATCATGAAGAGCAGAAGGGGTGATGCGCAATGAGGCTGCTCGGAATCATCCTCCAAGATCTGCAGCGACATGTACTCGTAGTCGCGGCTAGGCTGCACTACCAGCACGAGCCTGCCATTCCTGCGCGCTTCCCTTTGCGTAACTGTCCAGGTGAAATCTCCAGGCCGCGCAGTGCCAGGCTCCACTGAAACGGTCGCGCCTGCGCCGCTGCCGCAGCGTATGAGCGTGAGCTCATCAACTCCCCCGACGAAGATCACGAAGCGCAGGATCTTCTCCTTCTCAGACAGCTGCACGAGCGTTTCCGCCGCGACCTCCTTGCTCCCGTACGCGCGCACACGCGCCCAGCTGTCCTTGAACACGCCGAAGTGATAGACGTCGGTCGAGGTAGTCAAGTAGAACCAATCGCGCCCTGCTTGCACACAAACATGCGAGGTAGACACCAACACCGACCCTGGTCAGGCCCACCCTGAGCCCAAGGTCTGCGTATGCCCTCTCCTGGCTGAGCACTGGAGGGCTTATAGACCGACCGTGTTCCCAGGACTGTCCTGACCAAGCTCAGTGTCGGTGTATACACAGACCTCCAACGCCGTGACGCTTTCGCGACATGGGCCAAGAACTCTCGACCTCGTCCTTTCGGATTTTCGCCACGGTGCGTTCTCTTAGATGGACACAGGGGCCCGAAAGCGGCCACTGCGTTCATAAAACCCTCCTCGACTCGTGCTTTGGGCGCTAGAGGGGGCATTGTAAGAATTGCTCGTGCTACCCATTCGTAATCCATGCCACATCATGTATGCGCTGTCCTACCTGGGTGTATGCTGAATGTCGACCGAGATGTACGTTACGCCGCATGGGTGCTACCCTGCAGACTGGATATAGAACTATGCCGGTTCATGCCACCTGGGTGTGTCTATCTGCAACTATCGGGCACGGCCGCGGCCCCGTGGGCGCAGCCGCCGGGACCCCCAGGGAGAGTTTCTGGATTCCCAGTTGGCATTTCGGAAATCCTCCTCCTCCTGTGACACGAGTGAATGTCTTCGAATGTCTGTAATGTGATGCCGTTATGAGCCCCGCAAGTGCAAACAAAAGGCTTGCCATGCCCGCCGAATTGGAATGTATGCCATGTAGCGGAAACATGTCCGAACCAATGTCCCATATGCATGTGATTGTTGAAACGATGAGGTACATCCTGGAACAACACGCTGTCTGGCAAAAATACCACACACCTGGGGAACCGACATCCGCCATGCCGTGCCAGGGCCCTCCTGTGCCCCCAGGCCCAAGACTGCCCTCTCGCCCAGAAGGCGTCCACACCACCCTGAGAGCTCCGGCCCTGGCCGGGAACGGTGGTGACGCAGACCCGTGGCGGCCCCCCCCCCCCGAGCTGTGGCCGCGTGCCTGCCAGGTCTCCGCCGCCGCCGTGGCCGTCCGCGGCCGCTTCGGGCACGGCCGCGCCCGAGCCGCACACGCGCCACAGGAGCTGCGCGTTGGAGTTCCAGCGCTGCGCCACGGGCCTCCCTCGCAGCGACGCCCCGGTGCAGACGACCTGCGACGGGCGGAGCGCGGCAGGGGGGGGGGGGCGGGGCGGGGGGCGAGGCGCCACAGTCGCCGACGTCGTCGCTCGGAGGCTGGCCCTTGTCACCGCGGCTGGACGCGGCTCGGAAAATCGAGCCAGGTTGGGCCCCCCAGAGGGGTCCGCGGGGACCTGTTCTGAACGGGTGGCGGCCGGGGGCAGGGCGAGTGGCGCAGACCTCTACGAAGACGGGGGGGTCCTCGGAGGCGATCGAGGGCTTCGGAGAAGGCTCCTCTGAGAAGGCTGAGACCCCCTCGCCGTTCCCCTGCGCGAGCGGCCGACTGCCCTTGGGGAGAAGCCGCGGAGAGGGGGGCCGAATGGATCACGGCAATTTAGTAAGACCGAAAGAGCTCGAGGGGAAGGTAGAGAAAGCGAAAGAGGAGGAACGGGAGACCTGTCTCAAGGACACCCTGGATGACCTGGAGCTCCCTCACCTAAAAGATGTCTGTATAACAGGGTGTGGACGTATCACTGCTCCCGGACTGCTTGGAGGGCTTGGTGAGGCCAGCTGTGACTACTCGGGGGAGGCCCGTTGAGACCAACCAGGACTACCTGGGGTGTCTGTCTGTGAGCAATCAGAAACCTCACCAATGTACACAGGGACACAGTGGGTCGCCTTTCACGTCAGGGACCTACTTTGCCACCCCTCGTGGCGGGGACCTAGTTGGTCAACCTTCGCAGCGGGGGCCTCAGCGGGCAACTCTCCCTGCTGGGTGACCTCATCGGTCACCACTCACGGCGGGGACCTAGTAAGGGGTCAAAGCGCCCCCTTCCACAAGAGCCACCTTCGTGCCCTCTGGGGAGCAGGTCCCCCGACCACCTGTAAGGTACGTGGCAATCAGACTGTCACCCCTGAGGTGGCGATCAGACCTGCTGAGGAACGATTCCCTCCGTCATCTGTGAGGAGGGCGACGAGACGGGCTGCCGTGGAGCATCCAGCCCATCACTTCCAAGGCGGCGCCCACTTGAGGCACTGACCTCCATGACGCAACATGGCAACCATGCTGGCGGTCCTTCGTGCGCGGCCGAGACAATGACCTCATGGATACAGCCTGGCGGCAACGCTGGAGGGCCCCACTATACGAACCTCGCTGCTGAAAAAGGTGGCTGACGGCTGCGCATGGCGTAGACTATCCACTGACACTGTGTGCCCAGAGCGGTCCTTGCAACAGCCTCTGGGATCATAGAGCTTGTCCAGTGGACCTTCAGCTGCACCGCTTGCAAGGATGAGAGGCCCCATGTACCGTTCTGCAAGGTGCAGCTGCACCGCTTGCAAGCGGTGCAGCTGAAGGTTCAGCTGCACCGCTCGCAGCTGAACCTTCAACTGCTCCCGGCACGACAGCAGGTTATGCGTACCGTCAAGCGCATCAACAATACCTGCCAGTCCTGCATCCTCGCCGTCTTCCCAGAGCATTGCGCTGCAGCCCACGTCAACACACCCGAGGCGCCGAACGTGAACCCCCCAAACAAGTACATCCTCTCAAGACATATCTCGCCCGACCTCTTCGTCCGAGGACGAGGAGGAACGATCAGGGGGACGAGCTCGGGAAGGATACATCGAGCTTCAATCGGCGATACCTCGCCAATAGATCGGCGACAGGCCCCCGATGGCGAGACCGCACGGTGCTGGGCGGGGTGGGCTATCATGCCCCTGTCGGCTATGAACGGGGGATGTGGGGTCGATGCGGTCCCCCCCTGAGCCTGTCCCCGCGCCCTTGACCCCTAGCGTTGCCCCGAAGGATAGGTCGGGCATGCCCTCCTCCAGGCGGATTCTGGAAGATCCAGGAAACGTCCACAGTAGTCAAAAGAGCAAGGAACATTGTCACCAGACTGCTGTTGCACTATTCTTGCATTTGTCCTTAGTGGGATACGCCCGATTGAACCCTGAGAGGAGGGGGCCGCGTGTGCGGGGGGACGGGGAGGAGAGAACAGAGCAGGTACGACGTCGACCGCCGACGGCCCTCCCTGGCGAGCCGAGCGGGCCAGGGGCGGCGCCGCCATGGTGCTTAGTGCAGATCCAAGAAAATCCGCGTGGACCTTACACATCTTTTGAAGCTCTTCGAAGAACGACAGTGTCTTGATTGTTTCAATGCGGGGCCCCAGGATTTGGAGTCCCGAAACGGTGCGGTGACAGACCGTGCGGTGACCTCGAACTCCCCCAAGACCTCACCGCACGGTTCCCTCAACGCATGGTTTTGGGACCTCGGATGCCCCAATCGCCCGAGACGCCCTCTGAGAACGACCCGAGTCCCACAACCGTGCGGTGACCCCGAATCCCCACCCACTCGCCACACGGTGTGGTCACCACCCCCCCGGCAGGAGCCGTGCACCACTTCCTTGGGACTGGCGTTCCGCTCTGGACCTCTTTGCGGGCGGCCCTGGGGCCCAGCGAGGGCCACCGGAGGCAAAACAGCAAAACACATCCGTCTTGCGTGAAAAGTTTGGGCGCCACGGGGCCAGGAACACAACGGAGACGACGACGAGGACGCCCACGCCAACGCCCACGCCGATGCCGACGCCGATAACCTGTCTCGAGCTGATCTCTGTGCACCCCTAAGGATACCACAGGCCCAAATGCGATGTCAATCTTAGGGGCGCGCTCGAAGAAACTCGGGGAACCCTTAAGGTCGGCATCGGGATCAGGTGATGACAATGCTAGGGATGGGGGTTTGGTCCAGGCTGGTAAGACATGGGGAAAACAAAAGGTACCGATACCGTTACTCGCTGGACCTCTTCTGGGGTGCGTTCTGACCATAATTTCGAAGCGAATCCAACGGTGGCGTCGAGGGCCTCCGAGGAGGCCAGAAACGGGGAAAACGGGGGGAGGCTAGCAGTATGGGTACCTTTCCCTCCTCTGAAACGACGACGATGGCCGCCGACCCTCATGGAGTGCGGCCCCTCCGAAGGCAGCGGCGGCGGCATGCCGTCGGAGGGTGCGCCCAGCAGCGGCGCGTGGCGGCAGGAGCCGCAGCCCATGTGGGGGACGCGCTGGCACGGGCTAGTGCACACCCGGGCCAGTCAGTCTCTGCGGGGCCCTGCAAAAGCGCGCACGATCCTGCGCGCGACAGGCAACCCGTATCAGAAGGATGCGCGGTAAGGGTGCAGGGGCCCTGGGGGCCCATGGGAACGTTCATCGGTCGAGGTTGGCCAGCGGAAGTCGATGGTCCGAATGGGGCAAGAATGCGAGGGTCGCCTTGGGAAGGTTGCCCATCGTTACCGTGCGGGCTGGCTGTAGCCCAGGTCAGTGCAGCCCTGGCTCTGCAGGATCCTGCAAGACCCGGCGCTCTGGCTGACCCCCGTTTGCATCGACCCCCGTTTCTTACAGCTCGGCCATGGAGCGCGGCGGCGCGCCGGCGACGTGCGCAGGCGGAGGGCGCAGCTGGCTCCGTGAGCTCGGGCCCTTGGCGGGCTGCGTCGGTCGGTGGGGCCGTCCTGGTGTGGCGCCCGTTCCATGTGAGCCTGCCATGACCGCGGCGGCTTTCCAGCCTCGGCTTTCCTGGCAGGGGCATCGTTACAACGGGGCACATGACGGGGTGATGGGCTCGGGGGCAGCGTCAGGGGGGGGATACGCTGAGGTTCTCCGACGTGTTCGTCGGTTCTCGGCGGTCTTCTAGCCTCAGGATGCTCCCCAGCAGCTGCGCGTCGCCGAAGGCGTCCCGGGGGTGCCCGGATCGTCCCAAGCGGCCTCCCGACGCCCGTGTTATGGCCCGGAAGCCAGCGGCAGGTTGGGGCCACTTGAATGACCGCGGTGTTAGCTGAGTGGATAAGGGGAGGGCCTCTGGTGTTCGCTGCATGGGAGCCTGTGTGCCCCCCCTTGGCTGTCCGATGTGTCCATGCCGCAATGCATGCTGCGTCCCTGCTGCCCTCATCATGCAAATGCACAACGGCATGGCAATGCAAAAGGGAGAGAGAGAGAGAGAGAGAAAACGAAAGAAAGAGAGAGAGAGAGAGCACGCTACCTGTCAAGGTTTAACCTTGACCTTGACAGCAGCTCTTGTCTCTAGGTGCTCATCTGCGAAAGAGCAATTGGCAGCAAGTGGCCAGGTTTGGGTACAAAAATTGGGGCCGGATTCGCTCCTTCACCACTGGGGGCGGGAAGAAGGAGGAGGGGGGGAAGCAGGAAGGGCGAGCGGGAGCAGGCGGCAGGGCCACATGCGGCCCCGATGCGGATGCAGAAGAAGCTGATGTCACTGTCGCCGCTCGAGGCTCCCGTGAACGGACATCCGAGCTTCTCTGGGCGACGAGCCGGCGAGAAGCGAGGAGACGCGCGCGGGGGCGCATCCCTATCGAGAGCGGAGCGGGGGGCCGCGGCCCCTCAAGAGTTGGTGAGCAGGACGTTCCGGAGCGAGGCACTGCTCCGAAAAGCCCTGCCGCCGGATTGAACCTTGAGATGCCTCCTTCATAGAAGGGGCCATTTCGCCTAAAAAGTACGGCGTGCGAACCCTATCCATGCAGGTCAAATTTCTGAAAAGCCGGCTGGAGTTCAGAATTCGACAAATGTCTGCAGCCTAATGAATTCCAGCGGGGGTGTCCGAATGATCACCCGAGCGTCCCATTACCTCTTTGGCTCATGGCGAAGCCAGAAGACACCCTATGGCAAAGAACGACAAAAAGGGCAGAAAGCAACTCGATCCTAGTCCTCCTCAATCCTCGAGGTCCTCGAGGAGGGGGAGGAGGAGGAGGAGGAGGAGGAGGAGGAGGAGGAGGAGGAGGAGGAGAAGGAGGAGAGGAGGAGGAGGAGGAGGAGGAGGAGGAGGAGGAGGAGGAGGAACATCAGGAGGCCACCCGATGCGCAAAAGAACACAGATGCAACATCTGGACCCACGTGCTCCTCATCTTCGAGGTCCTCGAAGAGCGCAGACCCCAGACCTCTGGAGCTCTTGGATGTCCTCGGAGCGAGGGCCACTGGACGCCTCGACCACCTCCCCGCGACCGCCGCTCCATCCCGAACCGTTCTGTTGCCTGCCCGAGGCCCGAGACTGGCCCCATGGGTGTCCAGAACGGCGACAGACCCGCTGCCAGCAGGCTTGCTCGAGAAGCTGGCTGCGAGGGAGAAGGACTCGAGGGGGGGGGGGGGGGAAGAAGGAGGAGGAGGAGGAGTTTCAACAAGCGCGGCGGCTAGCGTGCGGGTACGGCCACGTAGGCGACTCGGGCGCGAGCCCGAAAGGGGGAACGGGTGCCCGAGCACCTCCCGACGGGAGTGCCAGCAGGCACAGCCAGGGGCCTTCTCGCAGTCGGAGCCATCGTCCACGAAGACCAGGTCTCCGACCAGGGCGTCGAGGATGATGTCCGCGAATGGCTGTGGCCGAACCTGGCCGCTGGCCGAGGGCATCAGCGGCAGGCCAGTACGCGGGTGCTGCCCAGCACACAAGCGCCCCAGACGGGGGCGCGTCTGTGGGTGAACGGCCCGAAGGCAAGGCTGCGCGAGGAGCTGGGCCAAGTGGTTGCCTCAGCGCTTGACCGTGCCTCGCTCGACGTTGCCGTCTTGGCTGCGGCGAGCATGGCCTTACCTTGAGCACCCCCACCACGCCCCCAAGGTCGTCCACCCGATCCCAAATGCGAGATCAGAGATCCGCTGCCTCGCACTGTGCGCCCGTCATCTCGGCGCGTCCACGCGCAAAGCTCGAGACGACCCACGCACAGTCCGAGTGGCAGCGGAAGGATACCAGCGCCGCATGCGTCATGTGCATGAGGAGGGCGAAGGCCTCCGCGAGGTCCGGCGCCTGGTGCGGGGCTGGAAGCAGGCCGCACAAGGAAGCGACCAGGGAGCCAGCGGCATCAACCTGGACCACAGACCAGCCCGCTCTAGCGAGTCGGGGGACGCCCTGCACTAAAGACGTGCAGGAGCCGTCACTGAAGGCCAAGGAGGAGGAGGAGGAGGAGGAGGAGGAGGAGCAGGAGGAGGAAGTAGAGGAAAAGAAAGAGGCCGACGACGACGAGAGAGGGAGGGAGGGGCACGAGGAGCGCCCAGCTTCCTCTCGGAGGCCGCCGCCCCTCGGAGGCCCTCTGCGCCGACGCCGGCGGCGGCGCGGCGGCGCCCGCCCTCAGCTCGCCCGCTCCCCGCCCTCGACGGACCCGTACTCCCTCGCCTCCTGGCGGGATCGCTGGCACGCGGGAGAGCTCGCCATCGCTCGGGCTCCCCCTTTCCCGCGCGCTGTCTGGTCTCGTGCGTGTGGTGGCCCTTCCCTCGCACGATGGTCCAGGATGCCCCAAGGTGGTCCAGGATGCCCCAAGGTGGTCCAGCGCTAGAGAGACGAACAATGACATGAACATAAAAGCTCGGAGGTCCGCGCGGATTGCTCGGATCGGCGCTGGCCCCCCTTGGCGGCGCCTCCGGCGCCGCCCCTGGCGCGCGATTCGCTCGCAGGGGACGGGGGTCTGGCGCAGATCCCAGAAATCCGCGCGGACCTACGAGTTTTTATGTTTACGTCATTGCTCGTTCCCCTCATCGCTCGAACTCCCCCTCCCCGTGCACTGTCTGGTCTCGTGCGTCCCTTCCCTCGCACGATGGTCCATGATGCCCCGAGATGGTCCAGAGGTGCTGGCGCTGGCCTCGCCGCGAAGAATGCAAACGTCCCTGAGATCAGGTATTGTCAAAGCCCCCCTTGTAGCAACACGCCCCGTAGCGAAACCTGCCAGGGGGCCCTCCGCGTGCGCACGCGCGGCACCGCAGTCTATGCCCACCCCTGCGAGGTATAGCCAACCGACGTCCAAAAGAGTCTGAGTGAATCCAGCGAGACGCAAGTCGATTAGCAAAACTGGCTTGAAACTGCACGGGTACACTCGCATGCCCATGTCGAGTGAACCAGTGCAGACTTCCTAAGTCGACTTGCCTGGGTGGGCGTGCTCTCGATGCCCGAAAAGGAGCGAAGGAGGAGGGAAAGGAGGAGGAGGAGGAGGAGAAGGAGGAGGAAAAGGAGGAGGAGGAGGAGGAGGAGGAGGAGGAGGAGGAGGAGGGGAAGGAGAAGGAGGAGAGGAGGAGGAGGAGGAGGAGGAGGAGGAGGAGGAGGAGGAGGAGGAGGAGGAGGAGGAGGAGGAGGGAGGAGGAGGAGGAGGACCAGGAGGAGAAGGAGGAGGAGGAGGAGGAGAAGGAGGAGGAAAGGGTAGGAGGAGTAGGAGTTTAACAAGATTAGGAGGAGGAGGAGGAGGAGGGAGGAGGAGGAGGAGGAGGAGGAGGGAGGAGGGGGGAGGGAGGAGGGAGGGAGGCGGAGGAGGAGGAGGAGAGGAAGGAAGGAGGAAGGAGGAAGGAGGAAGGAGGAGGAGGGAGGAGGGCGGAGGAGGAGGGAGGAGGAGGAGGAGGAGGAGGAGGAGGAGGAGGAGGAGGAGGTAGGAGAAGGATGAGGAGGAGGGGAGGAGAGAAGGAGTGGAGGAGGGGAGGAGGAGGAGGAGGAGGAGGAGGGGAGGAGGAAGAGGAAGGAGGGAGGAGGGAGGAGGGAGGAGGAGGAGGGAGGAGGAGAGGAGGAGGAGGAGGAGGAGCACGAGCGACCCTCGGTGCGCGGCTGGCCTGCTTGCTTCGGTTTGCCCGCCCTCCACACACCGCGCCCCCCAGCGAGGTCGCGCATCAGATGCCGACGAGAGAAGACCGCTTTGCTTTCGAGTTGGGGGGGGCTCCCTGCGGGCAATACTTCTGTCCATATCCATTGCGATCTGGAGTTTCGGGCTCCCTTCCCCAGAAGCCCGAGGCGAGCTGGAAATGGATAAAGTTTGCCCTCTAGAGGCTCGATGTTTATCCATATCCAGTGCGCCTCGGCCTTGTGGCGCTCCAAAAAATACAAAACGCACTAGATATGGATATGAACCTTGCCCGCATTCCCTCTGGCGTTGTGGACCAATCACGGCAAGCTCTTCCCCTCAATCTCTGCCGCTGGTGGGCAATTTTCGGGCAACTGGGCAATCAAATAATCCAAACCGCAACGGAAGACAACTCCTTGGGATAAGGGTCGAAACCCCTGGGCCGACGTCGTGAAAGAAACTCAGCGACGGAAGCCTGGGCATATGGTATGCACAGGCCCCAGCGCTGGCCCTGCAAACCCTGCGCCTGTGCTCGGTGCATGGCGGCGCGTTCGAGGAGGTGGTGTGAGAGGTGAGGGAGAGGCCTGGAAGTTTGCGGGGGGCTTGCCAGGAGCCCTCCCGACATGCAAGAAGGTCTCAGGGACGCCTCCGACCCCTCCCGCGAGTGCTGGCGCGCCAAGAAGGCGCCTCCCCGAACGAGCCCGTCCAGGCCTGGCCAGGACGGCGTCTCCGAGAACGAGCCCGGCCAGGGTTGGCGTTAGGTCGGGCATGTCCTCCTACAGGCAGATTTTGAACGAAAAATAAGTCTAGTCAAACGTACTCAACAATTGCCAAACAAATGATAGAAGCATCGTCCCCAGAACATTCCTGGACTAATTTTGAATACACCTCGTGTTGAGGGACATGCCCGACTTACGGCCAGGGTTGGCGCTCCCCCCCTCCCTGGGACCTGTGCCGCCTTCTTCGCCGCCTGCGGGCCTCGCCCGCACAGCATCGCGCCCAGGCCCAGCAGCACGCCCTGCTCGAAGTGGTCGGGGAACGTCTTGACCAGCGAGTACACGGTGATGGTCCCGAGCTGCAGCGCGAAGCCGACCGCCTGCAGGGGCGTGATGGTCTCTCGCAGAAACACGGCGGCGCTGATCACGATCATGGCGTCCTTCACGATGCCCGCGAGCAGGAAGGCAATGGCGGAGCTCTGCTTCACGAAGAGCGCGATGACGACGTTGAGCGTGAAGGCGAGCAGCGTGTTGGCGGCGAGGTGCGGCCACCACGCGGCGAGGTCCTCCCGGTGCGGCGTCCTGAGGATGTCCTGCCCGGGCCCGATGAGGTGGAGGGCCCCGAGCAGGGCCAGAAGCACCATGAAGCAGATGGGCATCACCAGCATCACGTACGTCAGCGCGTCGAGCTTCCTGCCGGCGCTAGACAGCAGCATGGCCTGAAGGACAATCTTCAGACACTCGAAGCACTGGCTCAGGCCTTGGATGGCGAACCCCGTGATGGAAAAGTTCAGCTCGCCGTGGATGGTCATCCCAGTGAAGACGGCGACCAGCAAGAGCATCCGTGCACTCCACCAATTGAACTTCTCCAAGGCGAACGCCAGAGACAGCAGATACACGATGGCGAGGTTGGCCTCCTTGAGCATCTGCAGGAACGACACGGACGAGTGAAGGTAGGCCGTGTTGCTCAGAACCAGCTGGCCTTGAACAAGCATCAATTGCATAAACATTAGCTGTCGGAGGTCCGCGCGGATTTCTTGGACCGCTTGACCCCCCTCCCTGGCGCGCGGAACGCGCCAGGGACGGTGCTGGAGGCGCCGCCAGGGAGACCAAAGCAGATCCACGAAATCCGCGCGGAGCTCTGACGATTCATGTTCATATATTTGTTCTTCTTCGATGGCCGGCGAAGAAGAAGCCGATCGGGATTGCGCCCTTGCACATGAGGCTTCGGTCCACGACGACCCTCCGGTCCGGGTCCTCACGGGCAGCGTCTTGGGGGGGACTGGCTCAGCGGAGAAACATCGAGCTGGCATCGGCGATGCATCGCCGATAGATTGGCGAGGAGCCCTCGACCGCAAGCCCCTTGGCAGCAGATCCGCACGTTCCTAGGCGGGGTGAGCTATCGGAGGCCCCTGCCGGCGACGAATGGGCGACGGCGGGCCGAGGCATCCTCCCCAAATGTCGACCATAGGGACACGAACTCTGCCTGCTCCTCCTCCTCCTCCTCCTCTTCCTCCTCCTCCTCCTCCTACTCCTCCTCCTCCCTCCCTCCCTCGACCCTCCTCCTCCTCCTCCTCCTCCTCCTCCTTTTCCTCCTCCTCCTCCTCTTCACTGAGATTCGCACAGGATATCGGATCCTGGTGTGTGCGGGATCCTCGTGTATACGTGTTTCGTCGTTTCCCCCCGCTGTGCGCGGGCCCTTCTTCTCCCCCTCCTCCCCGCCGTCGCCGGGCGCCTCCTCCTCCTCCCCATTGCACGGTGGCCCAAGTCGCGCACCGTGTACCGCGCCATGCCTCTTCCGCCAACGCACTCTGCCCAGCCGCAGACGCAAACAGCTTCATCATCTCGCACCAGACCACCCCGACGTCGTCCCGGGCCCTCAAAGAGCCCTGGGACTGAGAAACAGCCCGCCACTGGCAATGTCGGGAGCGCACAAACATGAATTAGCGATCCATGGATTTGGCGCGCGGTCGTCAAATCCATGGATCGGGGGAGGTACCCTCCCCAAAATGCGGCAAGTGCCGCCTTCGGCGGCGGAAATCCGCGATTTCCCATGGAAACTGGACCCGTCGCTAATCCGCGCCCCCTTGATTCATGTTTGCGATCGCCTGATTACGTATACGCTCCCATGTCCGATCTCATCCCCCCCACATCCCCGTTGCCCCCGGGGTCCGTGAGCGACGGGAAGAGCGACGGCCTGAGAACGTACAGCGCGGCGGACGCCGCTGAGCAGAAGGCGGTGTGCATAAGCACGAGCGGGACCGCGAAGGGGAAACGCTCGTGGTCGATCAGGTACTTGTTGTACGCGATCAGGGCCTGCGAAGACGACACGATCCCCACATCCTCTAACGGTTGGGCGCGAATTCAGTAGAGGGCCTCCTAGATGGAGTCGATGGGGTCGGAGTAGATGGGGTCAGAGGATCGCGCCGCATCGCCGACACAGCGTCGATGCCTCGGCAATACGCCAGCGATGCACATCGGCGACATCGGCGATGCATCGACAACGTCGGCGTGGAGAACATCGGGATCCGCATCGAGCCGCATCGGCGATGCATCGGCGATGTGGCGAGATCCCCCGACACCATCTACTCCGACCCCGTCTAGGAAGCCTAGAGAAGACCGCATGATGCCCCCAATCCTCTAGTTGTTGGGCACGAGCTCAAGGGGGGCAGTGAATGAGGGGCAGCGAAGGCTGCAGAAAGGGGGCCCTAGATGGCCCTTACGAAGGCCATTCGAAGTCCCAGAGGGGGCCTCAAGTGCACGGTTTCCCCTGGGGCCGTAGGCGACCCGAGGAGGATAAGGAGGAGGAGGAGGAGGAGGAGGAGGAGGAGGAGGAGGAGGAGCAGGAGGAGCACGAGGAGCACGAGGAGGAGGAGGAGTTGGAGGAGGGAAAAGGAGGAGGAGGAGGAGGAGGAGGAGGAGGAGGAGGAGGAGCAGCACTCAAGCCACTCAAGCCGTCTGGCGTTCCACTGGAAAACGAAACATGGCGGTGGCTGGGGCCGTTAAAACCTTGTTTAACCCCCTGTCCACGTCTCGCCTATCTGGCAACCGTGCTGCTACATATTGTGCGTGTGAGATAAAGACTGTGCCACGAGAAGATTACACGCAGTATGAATACACGGGCACTCTTGTTCCTGAACACAACAAACAAACAAGGGCATAGAGAGAGGCAGGTAATTCACGCACAACTGCAACAGGCTGAAAGGCCAGCGCTGGGGCCCAGCACGGGCGCTCGGCCGAGGAAATGGCCTAGCTGCGGCCTTTAGAAGATTTCTTGCCGCCGCCAAGCTGCCTGGCCATGTTGCCTCTCGGGGCACGATTGTACTTCACTGTGGCACCTATACTGCGCATCTGCTCACACGACACCTGCTCGACGCTCGCCCACATGCCTGCCATGGACATCTGCTCGCTGGGAAGGTCGAGCGGCGTCATCTGTATGCCTACCTCGCCCCCTTTCCCCTCCCTTTGCTTCCTCGATCTGTTTGAGAAGGGCTTCATCCACGGCTGGATCTTTTGGGAGCAGTATATTGCCTTTGAGCGACAACGTAATGCGATTGAACTGTGTCTGGCCTGGGCGGTCGTAGGTGGGGGCGGTCGTCATCTCTTTGATCCACCTCGACAGCTGGAACGGCGTTGACTAGGACATCATCTCTCTGGAGCCTGGCACACGCCTTCTTGCCTGCCTGGATGCGCAGAGATGCGTCCGCGGGCGACGAGCTCTCGATAACGGCGATAGCCGCGAAAAGGGCTTGGCCCGCGGGGGCGGCCAGCTCCTTGTCTGGATTGTCTTTCCTCACGTTCAGGAAGTCCTGGGAACTGTTGAGCATGGCCTCCACCAGAGGATGCTTGCGCTCCAGCATGAGAGTGGTGAAGTTGACCTGCTCGAGGGTTCTCGCGCGAGTTTCGGGCTGGGTGGTCAGCTTGTCTTGTACAGACTGCTTGGCGCTGTTCTCTTCCTCCTCGTCTGATACGACCTCCATCCCGTCCTCCGTCTTCGTTTGTTTCTCTCTCTGCTCGGATGCGATCGCAAAGCTCTTGCTGCGAGGCCTCGCCAAGCCTGATGCGTCGTCCTGTGACCTTAACATGCAAGTTCGGTGCCAGAAAAGGGCGAAGATGAGAGAAAACCTGCTTGGACATCTCGGCTGCGGTGTCGAACTCCTCTAGACAAACATGACACTTCCTGGCATCCGTTTCGAGCACATGACTTTCGAAGCGACCTTTGTTGCAAGGGCAGAACTGACGAACTAGACTTCGCTTAGTATGTTGCAATGCGGCCGTGCGATCACGAAACGCGCTAGGGCATATGGTACACTGATTAGTAATAGTGCATATTCTTGGGATGTGAAGCTCCCCGTGCGCACCTCCCGGCGTCGAAGCGACGCGTGCGACGAGCTGTTTGTATGTCGGCCACTTAGATAGACATTCCGATCCGTCTGGCATAAATTCTCTGCAAACAAACTCGCCGCTCTGGTCCGTCGAGGGGGCCGCGCTGGTGACGGCTGACGGCTGCATCAAAAAGGCGGCCCGCAACTCGCTGACATCGATTGCCTGGAAATCCTTCCCAAGCTCAAATAATGCACGATCTAGTCTCTGCTCAGCCTCTTCTAGCAGGTCGGCTCCTGCTTCGATGGCTGCCAAAGAATCAATGTCTTGCTGCAACTGATGTGCCCAAGGATGCCCTTTACCACCATCCCGTTAGTAAGTGCATCCCCATCCACCGCCACAACATCAAACATAGTCGCTCAGAGCTGCCCGTGGAACCCTTTCGCCCTGGACATACTTTGATACCATCTCAGTCGTCTAAGCCTAAGTTCCAGGAGTAGCGGTCCCAAGCCAAACTTGCGTAAAACCTCATGATTGGATAATGTGCGGGCTTCTCCCTCAGACCATGAACGCGCCCCTTGAAGTATGGCTCGGCCCTTGGCTACGATGAACCCGTCGAGTCCCGCGAGATCTCTAGGTACCAGGGGGCCCGCGCCTTTGGCCCAGACCTCCATTCCAGACAGAGCCGCATTCACTAGCAGACTCTTGACCAGGTTGGCTTTTAGCTTCCATGGGGCGTTCGAATGCCAGAACTTTCCCATCGAGTAAAAGCCCACACGTACTGCATGCTGCCGCTTCAGCAGCTCGGGAACTGGTGGAAAAGTGAAGGTAAAATGTCCTCCTAGATATCTGGCATGCTGCTTGGTGGCGCCGTCCACCTTCGAGTTGCCGCGGTGATGATCGCGTGGCAACTCATAAGGCCCAGCGCCAGTGAGAAACGATGCATTCTCCTGCTTGCTAATGTTCTGGCTGGCCCCCGCCTCCTCCATTCCCATGTCGATCGCTAGGTTCCCCGCTGCTGACCCTGCTGCTATGGTTTCTGCCCCTCCTCCTGTCCCCTTCTCCATGAATTTGTTGGCGGTGTCATCTACAAATCCAGGAAGTGCGATCTGCCTGATGTCCGGCCCTTGGTCATCCCACGGCAGTCTGGCTTCGACAGCGATGTGCCATCCTGCTCCACAGAACATATCGGCTACGTGCTGCATCACTGGCTGGGAGAAGGTGCATGCGAAAATGAGAGTCGCCCCCGTATCTCCAGGAAAAACCAAGTGCCTGGTCGTAGCCAGAACACCCCCGTCTCATCTTCGATTTTGAAATTTCCTCTCGTAACTCGGTCCTCCAGGAACTCCAAATCTTCGTAACAATACAGAGCCTCCCCAACCTTCGAAACTGCGCTGTGCTTTACAGAGAAAAAGGCGTCGGTGGCGCCGTGGCGCCCCAACATGTGGGATACGCCTCCTATCTGCATCCGGCAGCTAACTATTACTTGGATTGCCATGGCTGCTGCGCGTCTCCGATCTCGAAGTCCCCCATATACCCAGTCGGGTGGCTCCCGCGCCCCAAGTTTCCCGCGTCTCTTCTTCGAAACCACCGCGCGAAAGCATCGGCCCAGGGCACGCATAACCATAATAATTCTCTCGCCACCACAATCCAATTTCGCACTTTTGGGCCGCCTGCGCTGCATGCCAGGCCGCGGGCGTGCGCCTCCAGCGCCGACGCGCCCACCGTTGCTTCTTTAGCATATCAGCAGATCCGTTGGGCTCGAGCTCGAGAGCTCCATGGCCCAATCCAACACGAGCTCGAGCCCTCCGCGAGTTTGTCCACTCAAGGAGAAATAGCAAACGCAATATCTCGGGCGGGCACGACCACTGAGGCCAGGTGCGCCAATAACGAAGACGCCATACTGTGGAAGACATATGTTCATAATCTGTCATGGCCATCCCAAGAGCATCCATGTCATCTCTCTCATGCTGTATGTCTTCCAGTGTGGCTGGGTGGGCATCACATCCTCCCTGGGCGGCGGGAAGCTGCATACGCCTGCACCATGCAACTGCTGTGGCTGCTGACATAGGTACTGCACGGAACTGTCGCGTTCGTGGTCCTCGTCCTTTTGCTGCTAGTAGTCGCTGCAATGTGTGCACAAGATAAAAATTGCGCTGCTCAGCTGCTTTCGAAAGCTCTGCCACTCTTCGTTCCTGAACTTATTCCCGGTATTTCCGAGCCGACCCCCGTAATTGGCGACTGAGATGCTTGATGACAAGAGTCTCGTGCTGTGCCAGAAATTCATTGCCTGCTCTTCCCAAGCATTCACGTCGATTGCGTCGTTGCTCCAGGAGGTTCCCTAGACGTTCAGCTTGGCTTTTCCGTTTTTCACTGGCTAGAGGACTCTCTGTGAAAACCTCTAAGGCGGCCTCGTTGACTACGTGCATGAACACGCTATTCATCTCATCCACCTTTCCCTCCTCCCTCATATTGTCGAACTCCTCCTCCACCTCCATAGCTCTGCGATTTATGGCCTGAAAAAAAAAAACTCTTGTCTTTTGTGGCCAACCTGCACACACTCATACAAAGCTTCTCGGTTGGGACGTTTGCCTCTCTCTGGAAGTGGGGCTGCCGTGGCTTGCAGAAACGCAGACAAAAAAAAAAAAAAAAAAAAACGGCCGATGATCTCTGACCGTCACTGTTTGGAATAACTGAAGCCTGCGACCTGAGCGAGTGTGTACGCTGCAAGAGGCTACTGCGGGCAGCACGTCCATCGGGGCGAAGATGTGGTCGATGTGGCTGGACCCTGTCTCCCCAATGTAGGTGGGACGGTTGGGAAAGTAGGTGTTCGTTGCCACGAGATCCCATGCTGCCAGAATGCTCCTCAGTGCAGCCGATGCTGGGGTAGCACGTCCTTCAGAGAACTCGCCTGCAACTTGGTCGTCCGAGCTCCGCGGAAAACCACCATTGACATCTGCGTAAATCAGCGGTATAGCTCGTCCCTCATGAAAAAACTCCAGAGTAGATTGCAGCCATTCACACAATCCTGAGACTGCCCTTTCATAGTTATCCTTCTGCCCCTTGTTGGAGACACGAGGAGGAAAATACAAACCAACAAATCCGAAACGTTGTTCTTGTTGCTGGACAAGTAGCCCGAGTGCTCGTCCCCATTGTTGCTTGGGAACGGGGGCGACCCTCTTGATGCTGTGCCGAAGGAATCTGCTACTCTTGAGCATGATAGTTACTCCACACGATGTAGTCACAAGAGGGCCCCTGCGGTATCCTGCGCGAATACATCTGTAACGGTCGACAACGAGCATATCTTCTATCTGTTCCCCGCTGCTGCGTTGTTGTGTGCCTCCCAATATAACAACATCATAGTTTGGATATTCTCCTGATATATCCGACAGCCTGGAGAGTCGCGACGCGGCGCATGCATTGTACCCCACGGGTCTCCGAAGTCCTGCCGCCATCAGCACCATCACCTGCGGGCGCGCGGCCGCCATGGCCGCCTGGGGCGAGAAGGCCCTGGAGAGCTTGCGATCCTCATCCCTCAGGGGTGGGGTCCGTTCTCTCAATGGCTCGGGCCACCTGAAGGAAGAGGAGGAGGAGGAGGAGGAAGAGGAGGAGGCTTGGAGACTTGGAGACTACCTCGAGGGGGAAACCCTCGCTCGCCACATCGGGCGGGTCACGAAAATCACTAGTCTTCGAAGCAACAAACCTCGAAAAACTCGACCTCTGCAGCTTGCAGGCCCTTGTACTCGGAGATAAAACTCACAACCGAGGACGGGTCCACGAAGCCATGCAGACGGGCGACCTCATGGTCAATGAGAGGAGGAGCAAACTGGAAGCCGTATCCCGCCGACCCACACCCAGACCCAGCTCCGCCCCCCGAAGATTCAGCACGCTGCCCCCGCGCGTCCTCGAGGCCGCCGCCGGCGGCCAAGGACGGGAGGCGCGCGCGCCAGAGATCTCGCAGCACCTGCGAGGGCGCGCGGTAGGCCTCCAGCACCGCGTTCTGTCGACCTGGGTATTGGCCTTTCCTGAGGCGGGCTCTCTGGGTCCTGAGGCCTGGGGCGTCTCTCCCCAGGCAGGCCGCATCGAGCCCCGCTCCCCTGGAGAAGTGCTTACCTACCGAGGCTCCGCACTGCAGACAGAAGAGAACATTCGTGCCTGTTTCGATCTCAGGTCCCCCGGGAACAGACACCACCGAGGCCTGAACGACCGAGTGGCCGTTGACTGCCCACGGGACTCCTTCAAAGCTGATGGCGCCGAAAGGTTCCTGAGGAGGGGCAGCAGCAGCAGGCGAGCAGGAGGCCGAGGAGGTGGAGGGGACGAAGGGACCATCAGCACATGGTTCCACCCCCTCCGCGGCGCACACGGCCAGCAACATCCTGCCCACAGAGGTGGCATTCAAATCGACGACGAGATCCGAGGTCCCATCCACCCCCTGCGAGTCCGAAAGCTCAAGGGCCCCAAACATTTGCTGGGCCCTCGCATGCCATCGCGACGCAGCTAAGGCGAGCGTCTCAACACCCTCGATGAACAGCACTTGTTGGGGCGGGACGGCCCAGAGCTTGGCACCCTGCTTGGCCCAGAAATCTGCGAGGCGGTTTCCGCGGATGCACCATTCCTCGTGGTCATCCGCAGCAGACTCCAGACTGACGTGGGCACGGACCTTATGCACACTAGCGTCCTTGCCAACTCCGGCCCACCACTGCTCCCAAAAGTGGCGACGAGGGTTGTTGACATCAAGCCCAACACCCACATTCGAAGCACAGCCAATGGAACCTTTGCAATCACTGTAGACAACAAGAGGGTTGTCTGGATCAAGCTCTGCTACCTCAGACAGGACATGAAATGCGTAGTCCTCCGCATCTCTCGCAAGCTGCTCTGGGGCAAGATGGGGGGGACGATCCCGTATACCCCACCAATGAGGTTCCCCGCAGGGTCTACTTGGACTATGGCCCAGCCACACCGCGAGAGACCTGCCAAGGTGGTGTGAAACGCACTGCCGTCGACGAAAACCGCCCCCGAAAACTTCCAGCCCACAGGGACCCCAACCCAACGCCTGAGATGCTCAGGATTAGCCTCCAGCTTCGGGAAACAGCGGGAGGGGGAGGGGAAGAGGCAGCGACAAAAGAGCTCGGCGTGCACCTCGCTTTTGTCCCTGACTCTCCGAGCCGCCTCCTGGAGGAACTGGGGGCACTCTTCGCGACGAATGTGCTGCAAGCAAGGACATTCATACAGCCGGTGAAACAGAGTCCCCCTCATCCCACAAAGAAGGCAACGATCATGCTGACTCTTGCCGTGGGCGAACAAACGGGCTTGCGGCCAGTGGGTCCCTCCCACCAACGACCGCATGGCATTCTTATGATGAGGAGTCCACGTCTCAGACTCCCGTTTATCCAAGAGGCGACGGACAGGAGCCCAGTGCAGGGGCGCTTGCCAGGCGCCCTCAAGGCGCCGCAACGACATCACGTCAGACGCATCGAGAGCCATCTGACGAACGCGTTCGCAGCAGAAGCTGGGCGAAAACTGAAGCACAGAATACTCCACATCCTGTGCCACAAAGCTGAACGCCGAAGGCATTAAAATGCCCACGCGGGCAAAACTTAAGAGCGCCGCTTGCGCAGGGTCCACGCACTGAGCCCAAGGACGGGGCCTGGCCAAAAGAGCCAAACCGGCAGACCAGCAAGCCTCCAGTGGCCCGCGCCCAGGAAGGGCCGAGATGGCCGCCAGGGCCCAGTGTTGCATGACCTCGACAGTGTGGACTACCAGCGGGTCGCGGAATGCACCACGTGGCGAAGCTCTCAAACGCAAGCCTACAGATGCACCAGAAGGCAGGCGGCCTTCAGCACGTAAGGCTGAAATCCGGAGCCCGTGCAGCTTGAGATCCGAGATCCCAGTCACGGCCGACCCCCACACCGCCGTCGCCGTAGGAGACCCCCTCATGACAGTGCTGACTTGCGCTCCAGCTCCACGAAGCTGAATTACCTTGGCTGTGACACGCTTGGCTTTCTGAAGCCTTTTGTCTTGCTCACCTGTACGCCGTGCGGAGCCGTCGTTCGCATCGGTGCCCAAGCACCTCGTGCCTACCAGGCGGTCCTCGTCCTTGAGGGTCCATCTGGCAGACAGCGCGTCTGTGAGCTCCTTCGAACTAGACAAGAACCCAGTCTTGTCCCAGTTGACACGAAGCTGTTTGGCCTCCAGGCCTCGCACAAGGCTCATCATGGCGTCAGGGAACTGGTTAACCACTTGGGCCAGGGGCCCGACAGCCTGCAACAAAAAATCATCAACGAGATTTTGAAAGCGGACCGCGGGAAACTGCCTTTGAAGTTTCACGATGAGCGTGTGAACCAGCAGTTTAGCGAGGAGGAGGAGGAGGGGGAGGAGGAGGAGGAGGAGGAGGAGGAGGGAGGAGGAGGAGGAGGAGGAGGAGGAGGAGGAGGAGGAGGAGGAGGGTGAGGGGGGGGCAGGAAATGGAGGAGGAAGAGGAGGGGGAGGAGGACGCGTCGCCTGAGCCTTCCGGAGAAACCCTTCAGCCTCAAGGTCCCAAAAAATTCAGTTTGCTCCCCCTCTCTTTTTCCGCCCCCCCAATTCAGTGACGACGCCGGGTTTCGATTAGTTTTCCGGCCCCGACGGCCCTCGCTGGGCCCCGTGGCCATCAAGCAGACGACTGGGCAGAGGGGAGAGCGGTGCAGGAGAACAGGTCCAGTCCTCCAGAGGTCCACGCTGTGAGATAAGACGACGACGTCTGAGCTCTGCGGAAATATATATATATATATATATATATATATATACCGATGCTGCTCCTCCTCAGCGTCTTCTTCCTCCTCCGCCTCCTCCTCTCCTCGGGAGCGTTCTGACCGTGAGGCTGAGGGGAGTCCAGCCTTACGGGGACGAGGGCAGGCCTGGAGCCAACAGGACCGAGATGACGAGAGAGAGGAAAGACAGCATCGGCGTCGTATTTTTGTTCGTGACGTGCCCCCCGCTGGGGACCTCGACCCTTGCCGGGGGCCCGCGGGCTTCTCATCCTGCATCCGTTTCGACAATCTGGGGGCGAAAACTGTCGACAAACCGTCTGCCGTGGTTTTCTTCGACGACGAAGAGGGGGTCCGGGGTCGCGGTTCCAGAGAAGCTGCCAGGAGGCCACCCCCAGATACCCCCCCTGCTTCAGGACCCCGATCCTCGCACCCCGATGCTCGAACCCCAGGGAGAGGTGCGGGCGCCGTGGGTCTCGACCAGTGCCCAAGGGAGCCCCAAAACGGCCCCAGAACGTCCGACCATGGAAAAACGCCAGGCCGGAAGCGGCTCGAGGGGTCTGTGCATCGGATGGGCCCCGAAGAACACAATCAACAGGATAGGGCGAAGGTGCTTATGCTAAAACACGGGCCTCAGACCAGTCCCGTAGTAGAAGCTGACCACTCTTTCGAGCCGCGTACAGCCGAGGCGCCGGCATTTCCCCCAACCTCCCTGCTGGCCGGAACCCATGCTTGGCCGCCTCAGCCCCCCAGGCCGACTCTAAGCGCCATGACTACAGATGCCGCTACTCCCTGGACCTCTCCCAGGGTGCGTTCTGACCAAGGAATTTCCCAGCAAAGCCATCCATTGCGACGAGGGCCTCCCAGGAGGCCCAAGAAGGCGAAAACGAGGCAAGGGGGGAGAGGTATTGGTACCTGACAGCCAATCCGCCCGAACAGGTCACGGCTTTATGCTGTTCCCATCGTGCTGAAGGACCACATATCCCAGAAATAATTTCCAGCACCCAGAAAGGTATCGAAACAGTGTCGAACGAGTATCGCCTCCCAGGGCCCAACACGCGAAAAACCCTCCAGTTTCGGTACTTTCTTGGTGGATGATCAAGGCTACAGAGGGCTGGGACATCACAGGTCAAGGTCGGGGCATGGTTCTGCTGTGCGCGCGAGGGGGCCGAGGACACCGCGATGTAGGCGGCGCCGAGGAGCAGCGCCACGCCCGCGGCGCCCAGCCGCTCGAGGCGCGACCTCTGGCCCGGAGGGCGGCGAGGACGAGGGCGAGGATGACGTGCCCCTCTCGACAGCGACCACCAGGGGGGAGTCCAAGGATGAAGCAGAAGAAGAAGAAGAAGACGAAGCAGACGGAGGATAACAAGAAACGTAACAATAATACCAACAAAAGAGAAGAAGAGAACTCATAATAATAATATTAATCATAAGAATGCGCACGAGAAGACGACGAAGAAGAAGACGAAGACGAAGAAACGAGCGGCCTGACGTCTACTTCCTGCTGGGAGCGGCCCCCTGCCGGCAGCCCAGAGAGACTGCCTGGGCGGGTCACCCGAAGATGCTCCTGAGATGCCCCCATCCTTATGAAACCCACGGCAAGGCGGCCAACCTTCCAAGTTGCTTCTGAGGCCTCAAAGCGACTCCAACATGGCTCAAGAGAGCCCCTCTTGGGCCCAAGGGGGCTCCAAGATGGCACCGAGAGCGCCCACGAGTGCCCCAAGAGGGCTCCAAGAGGCGATGATTGGGGGTCCAGAGGGGTGGCGCCGATAGGGGGCCCCTCTGCTTTGATGGATGCCCCCCAGATGGCCCCAAGAGAGCCCCAAAGGCCTCCTGCCCCAAAGAGGAACCAAGTAGCTTGAGGCTAGCGTATCGAATTTCTCTGGGTCTGCTCTGGCTGATCCCGAGCTTCGGTTTGAGGGCTGCCGCCGACTCTTTTGTCCACTGTTTGCTCCGACACTTCCCTGAACAATGCAACTCGCCTGGGCATTGTTTCTGGATGGGCTGGTGGGGATATGTTCAGAATTCGGCGTTCCCCCCTGCGGGTCCTATGTAGATCTACATGTTTGGAGGGCTGGCGACTCCCCGCCAACAACCACCAACCCCTGCCAGGGCAGTTCTTTGGAGGTCTTTTTCGCTTCCAAGGTGCCTCCAACACGGCCCACGATGTTCCCAAGACAGCCCCGGAAATTTTCAAGATGGCAAAATATTGCTCCAAGATGGCTGCAAAACTCGGCGGTGGACAAACCTCCCTATAGTAAACCACCCTTCAGTGAAAACGGCCTGGGACCGAAACCGACGGACCTGGACCGGCAAAAATGACGGCCGCGACGCCCTCTCACGGGCCGAGAACGGCCAATTCGCTAATCGACGTGTCAGGGTGGGAGGTCTATCAACCTCCGAAAAACAGCAACAGAGGTCACCAAGACGCGCCAGGAGGGCTCCGAGAGGGCGCCCCGGCAGGCGGTCACCACCGAGCGCGCGCCGG